GATGTGGAGAGTGATGGGCTGAGATCGGATCCATGATCAGATACTGGCCGTCATGTATCAATCCATCACCATAAATCAGAGCCCAATCGTGGGGATGCATGCATGAGTGCATGTCTCTCTCTCTCTCTCTCTCTCTCTCTCTCTCTCTCTCTCTCTCTCTCTCTCCATCTCTCTCTACGTATCACATTATTGCAGATTATGAAACTTCAAGTCGGCATGGTTTGCCTTCATTAGTTATTAACTATGAAAAGGGAATGGTTTCTAATTATGATTATTATTTGATAGAGATTATGTTGATTAAAAGATATTTAGGCTACCTCAATTATGAGCGATAGTGCGTACTTCTGAGTTGTGCAAGTAAAAGAAAAAAATATGGGGCATGAAGTTTTTATATTTATATGATTTAGGTTTCGTTTGGAATAGTTTTATTAATTGCTGTTTTTCAGAATAGTTTTTTAATACAAAAAATTTTAATTCAAGAAATTTTTGTGCTAAAAAATTGCTTTAAAAATAGTACGTAAGAAAGATATCTGAATGAAGCTTTAATCATCATTTCACAAGGTCAAAGAATTTGAGCCTAAGTTGTTGCTAGCATTATTAGTGTTAGAGATGCATGCAATAAGTTGATCACTATGATGATACTCCTATTGGAAATTATAATAAACTATACCGAACTTTGCATTCGGGAATCAATCTAGGCATATATCTTCTTCATGCAATTCGGCCCATACCGCTTTTAGTCGTTATTGTAATTTTTACCAAGAATTCTAGCTCATCTTTGCTTTTGGCGCAATTTAAGAAGAAGGAAACACTTAAGGCATTGCACTCATTTCAACTTTCCTCCCTCTTGAAGTTGTAGGAACCTCTCTCTCTCTCTCTCTCTCTCTCTCTCTCTCTCACACACACACACACACACACAATTATGAATGATAGTGCATGCATACTTCTGAGTTGTGCAAGTAAAAGAAGAAAATATGAAGCATAAAATTTTTATATTGATATGATTTAGACTTCGTATGGGATAATTTTTTACTGCAAGTAATCATTTTTATTATTAAAAAAACTATTTCAATCGAGCTAACCTGACCCAACATTTTGTTTTCCTTTTAGGTTCTCAACATTAAAAAATGTCATCTCCTACTCTATTTATTTTATTTATATGATTATGTAGTTATTACTTAATCATAACTATCAAGTTCATTTATTGTGTTATTAAAAAATATATATGATAAACTAAAAATATGTTGAAAATGTATCTATATTCTTCTAAAATTATAGTAGTATCTTGCTTTACATACAAATACACACATAAAAAGCTCTAGACTATGTGATATGTTCTCTAATTTCTAGAATAAATGTCTTAAATTTTAGTCCAACATATGAACATCTTTAAACAAAATATTCATAAGTCTTATATAATTCACATTATAACCATTTATTTACAATTGATTTCTTGCTCTATTTACAATTGTATACATCTTCGTTAAATTTTTGAGACTTGGACTCTTAACAGGATACAACAGAGAAAAATAATTCACATACAAATTGTCAATCTCATGGTGTGGGATAAAGACTTGATGTTATTATTGTTTTATATTTGTTATTATTATATTGTTATGAGACTAATCATCACAACCACCTTATACATATTAATATATTTATGTTGTTGGGTGAGATGGAAAACATCATAAGCAAAACTTCAAAAAGGTGCACAACCCACAAATATGGGTAACCCTAACTCCACCATTGATTATGTGCACTAATGATTGGAAGATACATAACCACTCCTCATGTCTCCTTCCTACCTTCCATCCACCATATATTTATTTTCTTTGTTTCTCTCTCCTCCTCAACTTTCTATTTATTTACTTCATCAATCATTCAAACATCTCCATACTTCCTCTCAATGTTTGGCTGAACATATAAAATATGTATTAAAGGGTGAGAGTACTATTGCCGTGGAGAAGAATGACATTAGCATTTCTCTGAGTTCATTATGTCAGCATTTATTTATTGCTTGTAAGGGAAGTTGCAGTAAAGGGACTTGTTAGTCTTTATTTAAATAGAGAGAGAGAGAGAGAGAGGTTATATTTATGTTTATTTGAAGGAGAAATCACAACATGCGTGCATGTTAGGCATTTTCTAATAATGTTCAGCCGGCCAAGGGCCATCTGACATGATCAAGTAAGCATTAAACTTAAAATAGGTCGGTTAATCATATCATTTTAAGCTAATCTGGTTTTGAAACAAGAATGAATTGTAATTAATTAATCACAAATCATGCTAATTAAGTAATTAGTGTAACTGTGAACGGTCTTGATCTGAATATTTATATTCGAGAGGTATGCGTGATTTATTAATTATGAGTGGAGAATATAGTGAAATTTATATGATTGTTAAAAATCAGATAAAATATAAGCACTTTTCATGACTTCTTGTGGCTTCTAGTGCGCTTTTCATGACTTCTTACTGTTTTCAAAAGCAACTTATTAGTACAAAAATTTTGAAACTAAAAAAAAAATATTAAAAAGCTGCTTCAGAAAGTAGTAAGAAAGTCGTCCCAAACGAAGCCTTAATATGCATGATCATATTTTAGTTGAAGCCTTAATGAGATTAGCGTTAGTTTCCTTATGACTGATTGGAATTGTATCATAAAAATTGAGGCAATTAGTTGGTGTGTATATTTTGAAGAACATTGCCTTATCCAACCATATTATGCATATATCATGAAAGTGTGAATCTTGTTATTTTTTATTAGATTGTTACATGGGAAAATTCTCAATCAAATGCTTCAAAATAAAAAAAGCTTAATATCTCAAATAACATAAACAAAAAATTATGATGAAAATTAAATTGACTATATATAATGCTTGAATTTAGAAAATTTGCAAGTTAATTTCTTTTAATCAATCAATATGACTTATTAGGTTTGATTAATTTATCTGATAGAATTGTTAATCTACAATAAATTAAGCCTTCATTTAGGGGTTATTTATTTTGAAGAATTTTGAATTTGAAGTAAACTACATGCACGAGATTTGAATTTTCAAAGATTTTATTACTAAAAAAAGCAAATGCATGATATTCTACTGAATATTTGGAAATTATCATCTCTAGGTTATTTTCAATGTATTTTGTATTGGTCTGGTTTGACAGTATTTCATATACAACAAACATGTGAAGATTCATCAGTCGGCCATCGACCAACTCTTCTCACCGTTGCTGCCAACCGCTACCCCACCACCATTGTTGTCATTATTGACTACTGGTCAATACCACCATTAACGTTATGCACCACTGTAGACCACCGCTACCACTGTCACAAAAATATTTTACGTATTGTTTTTATTTGCAAGTAAAATATTTCCAATACATAATTTTACCATATATTATATTTTAAATTCTCAACATTTTCAAATACATTAAAACAAACTTATATAATTTTAAAATATTTTGCGATGATAAAAAAAAATGTTATTTCATCCAAATGAAAATGGCCTATCTGAAAGCAGAAAATGAATGTGAGTCCCACATCCTCCTTGTATGTATGCAGACCGTGACTAAATAGCAGCTCTGAGCCTCCCATATATATATCATAATGGCTCTATGAAGCAGCCACAGCTGCTCAGGTACTGCTGCTAGGTTTTCTGCGCTCACCTACCTCAATGACCTGCACATGGAGGGGTCTTTGATCTCCCTTATGTCACCAACTTTATTATATTTTTTAATGCTGTAGGTAGTTGCAACACTGTACAGTGACAACACGCAAATTTCTCTTTTAAGTTTCTTGCAATGGAAATCTAATTTCGTCATGCTACTGATAATAATTACATTAATCCTTGTGAACTCAATAATTAGTTGAGATCAACTCATCAAGAAACCTTTCTGTTAACAAAGAGCAATTTACTTATCCTTATGTGATCTAAGCAATTTACTTAAACCTTGAATTATTTTTAAGGTTTCGTTTAGGATAGCTTGATTACTATTTTGTCTTTCAAATTAAACGGTAACCACAATTTTTGTATGGCCATCAGTTAAAAAAAATTATGCTAGAAAGTTTATTTCTACAATAGTTTTAAAAGTTATCTTTATCTACAACAACTTTACAAAGTAGTAAGAAAGTTGTTCCAAACGAAACTTAAGTTGAAATGTTTTTGGGAATATGAGCGATACGCTAAGTTTCGTGTGCTCTCTAGAAGTATTCTCCTATGTATAAAGTATAAACTTGTGTGAGTTAATCTTATTATTGTTTCTAATTCCTGCTTGGCGCTGCATATTAGAACTCAATCACTCATTAAAGCCCGATTCACATCATTATGCTCGATAAAATGAATGAGGGAAGTTCCAATCGAAAAATATTGGAAGGGAAAAATGCTTCTAAGATGAATCTCTTCCCATGCAATAGTCAGGAATTCTTGACGATATCGAGCAGGAACAACCTGTTGTTCTTGAATACCCCGATTCAAGGCCAAAGAATTTCCTGCTGCTACCATATAATATTCATCTCTATTTTAAGATAAATAAATCATATGTGCCTCTTTTTGATCTTTCAGATAATTTATAAAAACCATAACAAAATCTTTAATATAATAATTCTCAATTCAGTTTAATATCAAATATATTAGTTATATCCTCAAATATTCTAAGTACATTCCTTATGTATATCAAGAAAAGGGAAATGTTATGAAGAGGGAGATGTATCAGAAGATGCTCTCAAGCAACTAACAATGATTATAGAGCAATGAATAGTATTCCTCACTATCCATTTTATAAGTGATCTATTTATTATCATTGATGACAAGCAGAAAATCATTTGATATTACTTTGTATATAAGCATTTATCATGTTCCATAGAACCATAGCATCCAAGCCTCTCTTTTTCTAACTCCTATTAAGAGAGATAACTGTCTTCTTGTAGATATTTGAGCCACACAAATCAAAAAAAAAAGTACATATAGAAAAAGATGTTCTAACAGCTGAGATTCATAGTTTATAGAGAGAGAGAGAGAGTAGAGGGATGAATAACTAGCTGTTAAACAATTGATTTAGCCTAGATAATTTGAAAACATAGACAAATGGACCAAGCAGAGCCCTTGTTTTCTTAACTCTGAACACTCATCAACGATTCCCACATAATTAGGTTCCTTGATCCCCTCACATTCCAGCTCTTTGTAGTCCCCATAACCAGCCATCTTGTTCTACATAAGATTAAGAAAACCAATTACAGGAAAAACTTAATAGTGATCAATGGTGAAATCTGGAATAGGCTAGGTGACTCTCTCCCATGTAGATTACAGAAAAATCCTATATAATTATCTATAATAAGAATCTTCCATCTGTATATTTTTCTGCAATTTTGCCGTCTTTAGCCCTCTAACAAATTAATCAATAAGGCATAAACATAAGGAACGATACCTTGTTCTCCCTTTTCTTCCTTGCTTTCACATCCAAAAGGCTAAATTCACCAACCTATAATCAGAATATAAACCATAATGAATGAAGAAGAAAACACATGAGCAAAACTATTACTATAAATAAATAATTTGAACTACCTTTGGACTATTCACAGGAGAACTAGCAGTGTCTTCCAAAGAATCATCTTCCAAAACTCTTCTTTCCTTCTTCTTTCTCTTCAAGCTTAACTTGCCAAAACTTTGCTTCTGATGAGGCTTCCATGCAGTACAAGAGGCAGCATCTGACACCATTGAAGAGCCTTCGTGAAGACTCGAAGAACAGCTGCTAGTTGAAGCTGTTTCTGTTGCTTTTCTCTTCTCTGAAGCCAAGAAATCTTCAAAGTAAGAGGTCCAACCACTCTCTTCTCCTGAAGAAGAAGACTGTTCTTTGGAGCGAAGAGTCTTCTTCATGAAGGAACAGCTCGGCTCCTCCATAGGTGGTAGATAGCAATCAAGAATAGAATTCAGACTATTGGCTTCAAATATTTATAGCAGTGGTCCAGTGGATGTAGAGATAATTGAGAAGAAATTAGATATCAGGGATAGTTAGATTTAGAATAATGTGGGGTACATGAGAGGTTGGGGAATTACTACAAACAGTTACAGATTGAATGATGTGGAAGTTTAGTAGCCATTAGCTCTTTAGCAAAAGCACTAGTCTTGATTTAACCTTCTTAACTGCATTATTTAAAATGTCATGGCCTCTTGTACTTCTCATTATGAAGAACCTTCATTGGTTACTATAATCATTCCAGGAAATATAAATGGATAGCTGATGTAGATTTTCTTTTGTTAAACCCTTTATTTTTTTGAAATTTACATACATACCATTTTATTTGATGCTATTTACATATCTAACACATAACACTTTAATATTACATTCCTACCTATCATATAAAATTTTAATATCAAATATATCACTACTATATTTCATTTTTACCACCCATACCAGCCTATAAATTTTAATATTTCATTACATGCACTCATATTTGTTCTATGGGTGGTAGACATGTAATATTAAACTTTTAGGTGTTATATATCTAAATAGCAAAAAATAAAGTGGTATGTATGTAAATCCCCATTTTTTATTTTTTGTGATGGAATAATCTTAATTATGAGAAAATTTGCATTCTTATCTCAATAGAATTTGAGAAAAAAAATATTATTAATTATATTTTTATTTATTTGTTACTTTTTCTTCAATATTAACAGTAAATTTGAATTTATTTGTTATAATTGCATAAGTCAACTGCTATTTTTTTCTTATAGAATTTAATTCCAAGTTAGGCTATTCCTAATGCATTGACAGGTGTGGATTTCAATGACTATATTAACTAATTTTAGTGGCCGTTTATTTGATTTTCTCTTCACATTGTGATGTTTCCTTGCTACTTTCATTGCATCATTTATGCATTAATAAGGGATAAACGTTGGCTGATCAAATAACTGAAGAATATATAAATTAATCTTATGGAATAATATATCTTTTATCTTCCATAATTGTTTTTCTTTGTAACCTCTTTTTGAGTTTGTTTGGGAAAACATTATTCTGTGCGGACGCCGAACGTCATTCGTAGACCAACAAAATGCACCACGTCACCCTTGTTCGGTAATGCGGCTCGGTATTGTTCTGTACAGCTGACGTGACTGCGCTTGATTGGCCTCCGGACAAGAGCTATGTCTGGTGTCCGCACAGAATAATTTCTCATGTTTGGGATAGCTACATCATTTCATAAAGTTGTTTATGAAGTTGTTATGGATAAAATAACTTAGGATTTGTTTGTGACAGCTTTCTTAACGTTTTAGGGTTTAGGATATTGTTGTGAATAAAATTGCTTCGGAACATAATAAAAAAATTGTTTCGAACTCGTTATTTTTTTCGAAAAGATGCCATAACAATTCATTCATTATAGATTTTATAAAATTTATGTACTTTTTATTGTAATTTTTATGAAAAATTATTAAGGTTATTTATTCATCTTTATATTTAATCACGTGTTTTTACTTAATGATTTGATTATTTATATTTTTGACACAAAGAAGATAAATCATTTTACTGCAAATGTATTAATTTCAAAGATTTAAATTATGAAATCTTTAGATGTTGCCGATTTATATTTATATATTTTTTGAAGTAATTTTTTTTTAAGAAATTATTCTTAAACTAATTTTAAATATATAAGCTGAATTGTGTTATCTGCTTATCTCAAGTTATAAATTAATTAAATAACATTGCTTGTTTTATTATATTTGTATGAATTTGATTGTTTAGAATAATTTCTGACTATAAATGAAATAATTTAGAATATTAGTGTATGTTTTAATTTTAATGATTTAAGGATTAATTAGAATTACATTTTACTGTCACATAAGAGCTCGAATTTATCCCCATTTTTATGCTAATGTTAATTTTATATTAGTAATATAAACATATATAAAAGATATTTTAATTATAACATATTTAAATCATTAATTAAATAAGAAATAAATTCATTTTACAGTCAATTTAATTTAAAAAAGCCTTGATTTTAGCACTGCTCTGCCCATGTCTTTACCAGGTGTGGGTGAAATTTGGGAGTTGGACATTAATGCATGTGCATTCATGCATTCACTTTCATATGTGAATTAGTATGCCTAACTGTAAAGTAATTGATACTTTATATATATATATATATATATATAGCTCTGAATTGAATTTAACTCTATTATTGGGGAAGAGTGGCCTACGGAGATTCGTACTCACCCTATTATTTATAATATTTCAAGCAAGGGTAAGAATTCTGTTGTGTAGACTTAATTTGATAGAAACAGGATGTTTGAGTTTGAAAGGTACACATACCTTTGTAGTTCAAATTAAATTTTCTTATTTTATTGCAATCATGTAATATGGACTATTATGATTTTAATTATTTTAAAATAAATCTTTTATATATTGACTCTAGATGTGTATCATATATGATTTGGAATGATTAATAGCTATGGTAAATTAATAAATTAGAAGATAATTAGTAAGTAAATAGGAAAAATATGTTTAAATTTATCATTTAGGTATTGGTGCGTTACATCGTTGTCAGGTGACGAAGGACGAAGGTCTAAAAGACCTTCATTAGGCAATGAAGGTTGGAGGGACTTGGGTTGGGCAACTGAGGTCGGAGGTGTCATAGTCGGACGATGGTGGTTGGAGAGACCATAGTCAGGCGATTGAGGTTAAATGACTATTGTTAGCAGGAGACGAAGGTTGGAAGGACCGTAGTCAGGCGATTGGGGGCAGAAGGACCGTATTTGGCCGCTGAGGTCAAAGAATTGTAGTTGGCGTGAGACAGAGGTCAGATAGACCATTATCGGATGATAGAGGGTCGGAGGGACAGTAATCAGACAACCAAGGTCAGAGGGATTGGTGTCGGGCGACAGAGATCGGAGGGATCATCAACAGACGACAGAGGACAGATGGATCATCGGCATGTGACAAAAATCTGAGGGATCGTTGTCCATGGTCAGAGGTGCAACAAATGTCTAACAATGATGGTTAGGCGGAGATCTAGTGGTGATGGCCTGGCAACAAGGGTTTATTGGTAGTGATGCGTGGGTGGAACTTTAAGATTTTTCAAGCTTTAAAACTCTATTGATTTATATCCCAAGGTCCAAGCCTCCTCCAATATCCCCTTTATGCGGGGAGAGAGGGTTTATTTATAGATTTTGAGAGTGGTATGTTTCATAAATATGGAGAAGATTTAAGACAAAATTGGAGCGCTCTATCAAATGGCTCATATTGATCCCTTTGATCATAAAGCGCTCAATATCTAAAACTAAGCAATATTGAGCTCGTTGGATTCGTCTAGTCAAGCCGTTCCATTTGAATATAAGTACCATATTTGTGATAATTGGTTTATCAACTTAGTGTCTTGAAGTATCTACACAACTCTCCTTGGCCTATTGGTTGAGAGCTTAGGCTTTCAACTAAGAGGTCCAAGGTTCGAGTCCATGTGTATGCGTTGTGTGTGTGAGTTTGCCTTAAATGGCCTAAATGTCCCAAAAAAAAAAAAAATTCAAAATTGTTTAATTTAATTTGAGATAAATGCAATACATATAAAACCAATTAAACTTTTTATTCCACTTCCCCTGAAATAATTCCACAAATTTGAGTCTCATTCTAATAAAAATTTCAGGATGTCCTAAGCTTTTTTTTTTTTCAATTTAAAATTACATTCGGAGTCTATTTGGAACTATTGCAATATTTTAATAATGATCATTATGAAATTGTTGTGGATAAAACAATTTCATTATTATGATTGCAAAAATAAATTTCCACCACATAAATATAAAAAATTGAGTGAGAAAGTAAGAAGAAAATAGTAGCAAAATAAAATCATGATTGTTATCTAAAAAAAACAGACAAAAAGCTGCCTCACACATACCCTTTTTTTGTGACGAGGAAACAGTCTTTAGGCCAGTGAAAATCCCGGTCGACCTAACATGTAACCCACACAAATTTACTCAAGGCTTTCATTGTTTACCAAAGGATTCGAATCAGGGACCTAGGCTTTGCCAAGCTAGCTCTTCATCACCCGGACAAGCAAAATTTTCACCCATACCCTCAATCAATCATTTTCTTTAGCTGGATATATTTTAAATTTTCTATGAGATAATTGTAACAAATGAGCAATCAATTAAAATTTGATCAAAATTTGCCGATTTATATATTTTTTTTTTCAAAAAAATTAGTTGCAGGCCTTAGCTGGCTGCAAAGATTCTTACCTTCAAAATAACAGTTTCCTTCTAAGAACTCATACACTCTTCCTCCACAAATTTGAAAAATTTAACTGATCATCAAATACCAAAATTCCTTCCTTTCCTCGACCATACATAAAAAGCAACAGAAAACCGCCATTCGGATTTCCACTGACATCCCTCTTCCTTCCGCCACCTCTTTCCTCCCCTCCACCCCTCACAAAAGATTTCCTTCCCAACTCTCCGGCCATGCCCAACAGTGCTCCGCCACCAGACCGCCACCGCCACCACCGCCCGCTCAACAT